CTGAACACCCAAGGTAAAAAGTATACAGGACTTAAATAGCCTGAAATCTAGTATTTTTGAATCCTAAACCTTCATTTTATATTGAACCATACTACTCCAAACTCTTGGTTCAAAAATGATAGATTCCAGGGCACCCGAAGTCCTGTTTTTCTAAGGTTCAGAAGTACCCAGGTTTGGCCAGAAAGGCATGCAATTTCACGTCATTATATGACCACCCAAATACAATTTGATTTTACTTAACTTGACCATGGCTGTTAATATGTTTTGAAAATTTGTATGCGTTCTAAAAATGCACTAAAAAAATTTTAAACTTAAAAAAAAACTTATTGTAAAAGAAGCAAATAAATCTTGGTAAAAAAAAATAACGGAGAACAAAATAAAAATAACTTAACTAAAACGAAATAAAATTAAAACTTAACCAAAATAAATATTAAACTATAACGATAAGATTATCTAAATTACATTTGAAGTAAATAACTTTGAATCTTTATCTTTACTAATGTTTTTATTATATAATATTATGCGAAACACTTTTTAAATAAAATAACAACTGACGATTGTTTAATAAATGCGCACATTTAAAAGTTTAAAAAAAGATTCTTAACAAATTGTTTATTTAAAAAATTAGTATAATTTTTTTTTATTTAAAAACATTTATAATAAAAAATAAATGCTTATATAAATATAAAGAAAAATATATTATTCATTAATGTTTTTATAAAAAAATATTCTTATCTATAATTATAAAAAAATTTTCTTATCTATAATTATTTTTCATTATTCTAATAAGTTTTAATTTTTTTTTTTTTTATAAATTCTTACTTTTTTAACTTTATTTAAAAAAAAATCTTATATAATTAAATAATCTAAATAAAAAATTATACAACTTTCAATGATACTTTAATTAAAATCATTAGCTACTTTATTTAAAAACGTTTTGCTAATATAAAGTAAAGATTAATGTGTCAAAGTTAATTATTTTCAACGTAATTAAAAACCAACTTTTTTAGCGCTTTTATTAAAGACCGTAGTTAAATCATCAAAACAAAATATTGTTTGCGTAGTATATAAAGACTTGAAATCGCACGCTTTTCTGGCCAAGCCTGGAAGTACCTGAATGTTTTCACAGCTCCTAGTCTACAAAGTTTTTAGGAAAAAATTTTCGATAACTTTTCATACTAAGTTCAACTGAACTTTTTTTATCTTATCATCCATATTTAAATACTTCTAACACAATTCTTTAACTGCAAACTAAAGTGATATTTATTGTTAGTTCTACTGTTGTTTGTTATGTATCTTGCCATCTGAGTTTTGGATGGCATTTGGTACTGCCAAAGTTAGCTTACAAACATTTATGATTGGTTTAGTTTGTAAACCTTAGTAATAGGTCTGTTTGGTTCAAATTTCAAAAAATTGTTGTCAAGACAACTTCAATTTGAAATGCCCTTATAAATACCCAATAGTGAAAAAATATTTTCACTATTAAGGGCATTCCTTTTTTATCAATCAGTGTATGCTGAAATAACAAAAAGTATTTAATTTTTTTACAAAAACAGTAGTACTTTTTACTGGAATGTGTTTTTGCTTAAATTTCTGTTAAATAATATAACTGTTGCAAAATAATTTTTGCCAATTTGAAAAAGTTAAATTCAAAATACTGTTTTGAGCGAAAATCTTTGATTGAATCTGATTTGTTATTCTGAAATATATCCAGGTTGGAAAAATTACTTTTGCATGTAAAGTTAGAATTATGTTATGGAAAATATAAAGACAGGGCTCAATTTAACGCTCGAACATTGTCTGACTAAAACCTCATATTGTCCAATCAATTTACGAAGTAATCGGACATTTTGGCTGACAAGATTATGAAGTTTACAAAATAAAAACTTTATTTGATGTTTTAAAAGGATCTCAAGCCTCTGAGACATGTTGTGTTCATATTAAAGAGAATGATTAAAAAAAAAATGTTTGGGCTAAATTTTTTGATTAAAACTAAAGAATAAATGCATACCAAGAAAAACTAATTTTTTAATTTTAGTCAAAGCTCGCCTTCTTCATTTTGTTATAGGCCAAAAAGTCAGCATAATATATGCCCCAATCTACAGACTCGATAGTTTATTCAAATGTGTTTTATTCCTAAGAGTTTTACTACATGGCATCATTGATTTTTTTGTTTGTTTACATAATCATTCTTTTACACAAACAATAAAATCAATGATGTCGTGTACTAAAACTTTTAAGAATAAAATGCGCTTGAATAAATTATCAAGTCTGTAGATAGCGGTGTATAATATGTTGACTTTTTGGCCTACAACAAAACAGAGCTTCGACTAAAATAAAATTTTTTTTTTTTTGGATTCTTTTGCTTTAGTCAAAAAAATTTAGCCCAAACTTTTTTTTATCATTCTCTTTAATATAAACACAAAATGTCTCTGAGGTTTGGGATCCCTTTAAAGTTAATAAACTTAAACTTAATGTAAACTTTTAGACAAACTTATAAAATTTAAAATAATAGTTAAAAGGGACACATGAAAAAGACTTTTTTCTGTTTTCCTTTTTTGTTAAAAAATAAGAATGTATGGAAACACTAAAAAGCAGTTAGTATTCAAATTATTTTTTTAAAAGTTTGATTGAACGCTGTCTGCCCCCAAAAAATTTAGATCAGACATTATGTCTGGGGCTTTATAAAAAATTAAATTGAGCCCTGTAAATATAATAAGTATGGAAAAACACGTAGTGTTTTATGTATGTCTTAAGCGATTTTATGTAAGCGATTTTGCTTAAGCAACTTTTTATCATTTTTTAACTTTTGGATTATTCTATAAGCTGTAAGATAAAAGAAGTAATTAATTTAAAAAAAAACAACTTTAACGATGATTGAATGAAGATTATGATAAATATTTGTTAAAAATATTACTAAATATTGTTCAATATTTAAATTTTACTCTTAAAGAAAATTAGGTCATTTTTATCGCAATTGTTTTTTCGGTTTTCCTTCCTACACATTTTTTCATTACTCAAAATTAAATTTTAAATAAACAGCTGCATTAAAACTTAAACTTTTAATAAATAAAGTAAATAAGTTAATGTAATTTTTTTATTTGTTACTCTCTAATTTTTTTTAGAATAAAAAATCATTTGTGCAAAGTTGCAATTAGAAATTTAAGAAATAGTCATTTAAAAATTCAAAAATTTAACATATTTTAATTCATTTATGCAAATGTCGAGAAAAGAAAGAAATTTGTTAATATCAAATGTTTTTAAAAATATGATACTCAATTTAATTATTTAATATTAAAAAAAATAATTTAATAATAAAAAAGAAGTTAATTAATATTTAACTTGTTTTGTGGTAATTGATATTATTACAGTAATTTAAACTAGTTAATGTCTTTAAAAAAATAAATAGAATTTGATGACGTCAAATTCACATTAGGCTATTGCGTTAAGCATTTTTTTTTTGAAATAAGGCCTGTAATATATATAAAGTTTTTTTCAAAATGAAAATATACCTGATAATTTGTAAAACTACATATTTAAGTATTTAACTTTCGTTCTGTAAAACCTATGCATTACTATTTTAAATAAAATAAGAAAGGTTATTCTAGATAATTTTTATTATCGCAATTTCTTATCTGACTTCCGCAGTTTAACCCGTGACGTGGTTTCTTTAATTTATTATAATCGTTAAAAATAATTTATGAAATAATAATAAATTTTATTTGAAATTGTTTTTAAGGAAGATGATAGATAACGTTTGTAATTTATTATGCAAAATACTTTAAATCAGAAATTTAATGTGCCGCATTATTATGAAAAATATTTTAAAAACTTATTATATTGACTCTTAGATTATTTCAAATAAAAAAATAAAATTATAAATGTTAAATAAAAAAATTTAATAACAAATGTTAAAAAAACTATAAATAAAGAAATAGTAAGCAATAAAGTAATAATATATTTGTATATATATTATTAATTTTTGTATATTATAAATTTTACTGATTAATCTAGAAGCAAAACACAACAACCAAGGTGCTGTTGTTATACTGATAAGTTTGTATATATCTCATATTCATCCTTCAGAATTAGAAAAAATAAGGTCGGCAATAATTTGTCAACCTTTATCTGTGTGAGGTCAGCATAAGGTCAGCAGAAAAAATATAAAATAAAGGTTTGATTATAAAACATAGAAACAATGTCAACAGTTTTTTGCCGACCTCAAACACTTCTAGGTTGGCATTGCTGAATGCTGACCCTAATTCCAAGGATTGGAATTAAGTATGCTGATTCAGATTTTACCATTTTATAAATTCATACAAATAAATCATTATTCAGTGTTGAAATATTTTACCCATATGCTATGTGAAATAAATAGTTAAAAAGTCTATCAACTCTTAATCAAAATGTTTCCATATATATTAGTTTTTTTTTTTAAAAAAAAGAGAATTTAATAATGGTTTTTGAATATAATTATTTTGTATTACAGTTTTTTCTCCTAGAAAAGAAAAATATAAATATAGATAAAGTAAAACCAACAAATATTTAACATATAAAAACTTTATGTTACGTATCTAATGTTGCATCTAGCTTTATTAATCTTAAATACTTCAGAATACTTATTTATAGTTTGTATATTTTAATTTAAAGGTGCTCTTGCAATTGGTATAACATGCAACTTTGTGAACCATAACACTATTGAAGAAGCAAAGGTTTCTGAAATCAGTGGAGTATCGTGCCAGTTTAATCCTAATTTCTTTAAAAATATGGAAGAGCAATATGGAGTAAAGTTGGAAAACATTGTATATTATAAAAATGAAACACACTATTTTGTAATGACAGCATTAAAAGCAAGTTTGTTAAACCATGGCGTTATTCTTCAGGTAAACTAGACAGTTCACAAACTTTTGTTCAGAGTGCACACTTTACTAGCATTTTACTAGCATAAAATTACTAGCATAAAATCTTTTTATTTATAAAACAGTAATATATTATAAAATAGAAATAATCTAATCAATAAAATACCTTTACTAAAGCATAAACAACTGTTTTTGGACAATTGTAAAATCATTAAAGTGTTTTTATTATATATTCTTAGGTACCTAATAAACAGGAGGATTATAATAAATGAGGAAGTCTGAAATATTTCTGAAATCTAATAAACAGGTGTAGGTTTTAATAATCTAGAGGTTTTTTTTAAAGAAGTTTGAAATTATGAAAATTTTAAAACACAAGAAAGTTGTTTATATCAGAAGTTCAAAGTTTGACAAATGCTAAAACTTAACAAGTTTTTTTTTCTCATACAAAAATTTTGCAAAACTATCCTGCATTCTGTTCAAATTCATAAATGTTGAGGGTTGTAATAAACTTGGTGGTTTAGGAGAGGGAGTAAAAACTACTTTTAAGAGGAAGTAAACAATTTTATGTTTTAAAAAAAACAAAGTTTTGAAGTTTTAAGCAAAAGTGTCCACCCTCATATATTTTCTTTCTAAGAGTATATATATATATATATATATATATATATATATATATATATATATATATATATATATATATATATATATATATATATATATATATATATATATCAGGCTTGGTCGGGAAGCGGGAGCGATTGCCTTCGATTGCTGACCACGTAAATAATATTCAGTTGCGAAAAGCTGGCCAGATTTTTTAGTCGTTTTGAGAACATTTTAAAAAGCAAAAAAAAAAAAGCGACCAAAATAAATTGGACTGATGAGAGACAATTACAAAAAAAAAAAATGTAGGCAAATAAAATATATTTAAACGCGAAAAAACCTTAAGCTAAATAAATTACACTTAGAACAAATATTTTCTAAACATCGGTTTTTTATAATTTTTTTATAAAATTAAGCGATGTTTTTTATATAAAGTAACAACTTACAATTGTTTAAAAGAGAAACAAATATTCTTTATTTAACTAAATTTGAAAGTTTTAGTTTTACTTAAGCTTAATTTATTTTATAAATAAAAAAGTTAATTTTTTTAATACCTATTATGTTTCGCGTAGTTTGAAAAGTTTAACATATTTGAAGCGATTCTTCTTAGTAAGATAAAAAACTTAGTAAGATAAACAAATGAAATAATTAAATCATTGAATTATTATAGGAATTAAATTAACAAGATAGAAATCAACTAAAAAGGTTAAAAACACTTAATGACCAGGAAGCGATACTGCTTCACAGTATCGCTAATGATGTTTAGTAAGTGGGCTTTTTAATTTTAATTAGTATTTAAAGCAGAAAAAAGTATAACGAGTTTTAAGAATGGCAACTTAAGCGAAAATAATTAGAGTTAGTAAACCAATATCTAGAAACTTTTCTTTATATCTAAATATTTGCTATTATATATTTGTGTTCTGTCGTGACCTCAGGCGCAATGCTTGTTCATCCGCAAGTTACTTTGTATGCGTTGTTTAGTAACCAGAAACTTCTTATATGTTTGTTACATAATTAGTTTTATTAACTTTAACGATTATAACTTCATTAAAAACGCAATTATTTTTGTAAGTCTTTGTTTAAAGTATAAAAATTGCTTTAAAAGATACATTACGATAAAAAACAAATACACAAAATTACATTTACATAAAGAATACAATCTCTTTTAAAATAAAAAATAAGAATATACTAATAAAATCTATGATTTATAATAAACTTTTAAAATTTTAACAATTTAATTAATATATATTTAAAACATTTATTTTTGTAAACAAATAATATGTATTCTTAAAACAATTCTACAAATCTTAAAACGTAACAAATCGTGATTTCTAAAACATTTTAACAGAATACTCTAGAACTTTATTTCGCTTAATCAGCGTATTTTTTGAACCAATAGTATTAGTTTGTTTGTTAATTTGGCGGGTGTTTAGTGTTCGCAAATATTCTTTTTATTCTTTCGCACAAAGATGTTTTGAGAACATTCAAGTTTGTCATGTTTCCATGTATGTCCGTAAAACAAAAATTCTTTGTTTCGTACATAAACTTAAATGTTCTCAAAACAACTAAAAAACCTGGCCAGTTTTACGCAACTAAATATAATTTCCGTGGTCAGTATTCGAGAGCGATCGCTCCCGCTTCCCGACCAAGCCTGATATATATATATATATATATATATATATATATATATATATATATTTATATATATATATATATATATATATATATATATATATATATATATATATATATATATATATGTATATATATATATATACACAAGCACACACATATGTGTATACAGGGTGGCCACAGCTCCTCCAAAATCCTCTAAAGTCCTCTTTTTTAAACAATCTCCTCTAAAGTTCTCTATTTTCCTCTAAAAAGTTGAAAATATGATCAATTCTCCTCTATAACTCCTCTTTTTTTTTTTTTTTTGAAGTTTACTCAATTTTTAGAAATATTAAAAATATATTTTTATTAAAAAGTTATGTTGTATTGTTTTGATTAGCAGATTTTTATTTTAGTTACAGTATTAACGTTTATATTAGTTACAGTAATACATTTTTGAAAAGGTTTTCTTATTCTTACAACAATTTTAAAGAGCTTATATCTGTGTAGAAATTGATTTGAATGTAGTTATTTTCTAGTATGTCTACCATAAAGGATTTATTTGTTTAGTTTAGAAAAGTATAAATAATGCCTAAGTATAAAAATTTCAAGACTTGTGGCTCATTAAAGAGGAGTTCAAATGCTGGTTGCAAAAAGATAAAAAAGATAAAGCAAGTGCATTTTGTAAAGTTTGTTCGAAGTCATTTAGCATTGCAAACAGTTGAATAGAAAATATAAAGCAACATGCCAAAAGGAAGAAACATGTGGAAAGATGTCCATCCAAAAGCAGTAAGAAGGAACTAATCCACTTGAACAAAAAGCAGCTCAAAAGCAAACAAATTTAATTGATATGATGTCAAGAGATCAGATATTAAATGCAGCGGTAATTTGGTCACTTAAAGTTTTAATGTAAATATTCTTACCGTTCTTCAGAATCAAAAAGTAAGCTGTTTTGCTCCATGTTTCCAGACAGTCAAATTGCTCAAAGTTTCACTTGTGGAAAAAAAAATGCAGTTACATTTTATGTCACGGTGTTGCCCCTTTTGTTAAAGAAGCAATGCTAAACGAATTTAACAAAGTCCCTTATTATACCACATTATTTGATGAATCTTATAACAAAATTTCTAAAAAAAGTCAAACGGATTTACATTTTTGTTTTTGGGATGACACAGAAAATGAAGTAAAAACATCTTTTTGGAGTTCTGAGTTCTTGGGTAAAGCATCTGCTGGTGATGTTTTTTCAAAATATAATAATTGTTTAAGTTCTTTGGATCATAGTAAATTCTCCAAGTTTCTTCTGACGGGCCTATATAAATTTAGCCTTTTTAAATCTGTTAAATAAGTTTAAAAAAGAAGATTTACTTGATCCATTAATTAATATCAAAACATGTAGTCTCCATACCCTTCATCGTTTTATTCCAATCTGGGGAAATGGCTACTGACTGGAATGTTAAGAAACTACTTTTTTCTCTGTATAAAATATTTGATGAGTCTCCTTCTCGCCGAGCTAACTATGAATGTCTAACAGCTGCTACTTTTTCCGATCTTCAGTATGGCGCTTTACAGTTCTTGTCTAGTTTATGTGCGCATTTTACAGAAAAAAGTATATTGAAAAATAAACTTGTTCGAAGTACTTCTTGTTTGTCTCCTAAAGTTATGTTGGAACCGGCAGCGTTATCAACAGCTTTATTAGATAAAATGCTTGAAATCCTTGTTGGTTTGAAAAAACTGACTTCTGAAACCGCAATGAAAACCAAACAAAAGTATTCAAAATTTTTGTCAAATTTTGTTAAGGTTAGCACAGAACTATTCAAAGAATTTGATGAATCTAAAGATCGGTTGGACTCATTTCTCTGGAAGCACATTGGTTCAGATCCTAACTATAAATCCCTTTGGTCTGTTGCCCAAATTGTTTTAGTTCTATCTCACGGTCAGGCTATTACTATTGAGCAAGGATTTACTGAAAACAAAATGCTTCTTGTTGAAAATCTTGACATGGAAAGTCTTATTTCTCAACGATTAATATTGGACTATATGAAACGAAAAAATTTTGAACCTCATAGTTTTCCAATGTCAAAGAATTTGTTATCGTATGTTAAATCTTCTCGTCAAAAATATCAACAATCACTTGTTCATAAATCTAAAATCAAATTGAGCATGGAGAAGAATAAAAAAGAGATTAAGATTGCTTTAAAAATTCAGGAAATAAATATTAAGGTTGTCTCTTTGGAAAAAACTATTATCCAGCTTCAAAAAGATGCTGATAACTTTGCATTTGAGGTAGAAAAAAAGAATGATATAACTATCTTATCCAAATGTAATGTCTTGAAAAGAGCTCCGATTGACAAAGAGAGTATTCTCTGTGAATTGAAATGCAAAAAAGCTAAGCTGGTAGAACTTAAGGAACGATTTCGTTAATAAAAAATATATAAATTTTTATTTCATGTATGTATTCAAATTTCATTTATTGATTTTAGTATAATGTTATGAATACCCTGGTTTGCAAAACTGGTTAATGCCAGGAAGGCATGGGTTGGGTTGTAAAAATTCCCTCAGCAATCTAAGTCATTTAACTAATTATAAAAGTCTTTCAGAGCCACCCAAGTGTCAAAACATGGCAAAATTTCCTCTAAAATCCTTTATTATCCTCTTTTTTTTATGAAAATTTTGTGTGGCAACCCTAGTATATGTATATACACACACATATGTGTATATGTATAAACACACACACACACACACACACACACACACACACACACACACACACACACACACACACACACACACACACACACACACAATATATATATACA